CCATTATCCATGAAACCATTTGAGTAATCATAGTAGTGTTCTACTCATCAGAATTGCCTCAGCCATGACCCAATCGCTCACCATAACATAGATATTGATATATGTATTGGTTGATGGGAACAATCATTATATTGAGCCTATATGATGGAAGTACATTGTAAGCATGACAATCAATCAAAATTCCACAACAAGCATCAGCTAGAACTCACCAACTTGCCCATCAATTCACATTCTACACATCAGCATTGCCTCGGCCATTACCCAATCGCTCACCATAACATAGATATTGATAGGAACAATCATTATATTGGGTCTATATGGCGGAAGCACATTGTAAGCATGATGATCGATCCAAATTCAATGATAAGCATCAGCTGGAACTCACCAACTTGTCCATCAATTCAAGTTCTACTCATCAGAATTGCCTCAGCCATGACCCAATCGCTCATCATAACATAGTTATTGATTGGAACAATGAAAATATTTGGTCTATATGGTGGAAGCACATTGTACGCATGTTAATCAATCAAAATTTAACGATAAGCATCAGCTGGAACTCACCAACTTGTCCATCAATTCAAGTTCTACTCATCAGAATTGCCTCAGCTATGACCCAGTCGCTCACCAGTATGTATTGGTTGATGGGAGTAATCATTACATTGGACCTTTATGGTGGAAGCACATTATAAGCATGACAATCGATCCAAATTCCACAACAAGCATTAGCTAAAACTCACTAACTTGCCCTTTTTTCAAGTTCTACTCATCAGAATTGCCTCGACCATGACCCAATCGCTCACCATAACATAGATATTGATAGGAACAATCAATATATTGGGTCTATATGGTGGAAGCACATTGTAAGCATGATGATCGATCAAAATTCAACGACAAGCATCAGCTGGAACTCACCAACTTGTCCATCAATTCAAGTTCTACTCATCAGCATTGCCTCAGCCATGATCCAATCACTCACCAGTATGTATTGGTTGATGGGAACAATGAATATATTTGGTCTATATGGTGGAAGCACATTGTAAGCATGATGATCGATCAAAATTCCATGACAATTTAAATTGAATTCAAACATGAAATGAAAATGTGATAAGGCATCCATCAATGCTTACCTTTCCTAGGTCTTTGCTGATTGTAGAGTGTTCAACGGCAGTATGGAACTTGATCACATCTTATCACATGGATCTGCAATGAGTCATTGCAAAGGAGCATTATCCAAAAAATTGGACTGGACTGAGATGCCAAGGTCTGTTTCTTGACTTGGGTGTTGAATCGGCACAATGAAACTCTTCTATTAACCATTAGCCATCTAAAGTCATTGTCTGGAGATAGTTTTCCATTGTTCTTGTCTTCGAACTTCATTCTGGTTCCGTTATTGCTTTCTATGACATGCAGTAGCTGGTTCTAAGCTTTCTGTTTTGAAAGTGATGATTGATCAGCAATGTGACTGACAATTGGCCAACGTCTTGGGAAAACTTTTTTAATTAACATCCCATATTTTTGGGGAGAAAAAGAAGTAGACATTTATATATTTGTTGTCTAAGAAAATATATTTTACTCTAAATAAAAAAAAGGCATTATCTATATTTTTTGTTCAGTGTTCGCAATGCATTCTCCACCCAAAATGAAGTTAAACATGCGTAATCGAAGATTACCCGGCGCCGCCTCCACTCCTGGGCTTGAATCGCATGATGTAGTCTTTGTCTGTAGAGATCGCGCACGTATGCTACCATGAAAAAACTGTGGCAAAAGCGTGATGCTACATACGAGAAGCGAGTAGGTTTGGCACAGTAGCGAGGTACTAAGTTAGTGACTGGTTTGCACCAAGGTCGAATCATAGGATTCGAAAGGGACAATCGATAGGATTGACAGGCAAACCCGGACCAAATGGGGTACCGAGCTATGGTGCAAATGAGAGAGCCACCAAACTACGGGTGCTATCGCTTTCCGGGAAAGCGGAAGACAAAGGCCACAAACATGCAAGCGCAGGCGTGAGAAAAATTGTTTAAAAAAATAATAAAAAATTGGCAAAAATACAAAAGAAAAGAAAAAGAAACAAAAAGAAGCAAAAAAAGGGAAAGGAAAAGAAATTTCCCAGGATCGAAAGCTGGGCGTTTGATCAGAAAGGGAAGAAAACAAAGGGGAAGGAGGGGAAGTGCCCGAGAAAGCAAGCGAAAGGAGGGAAGGAAAGAAAGGGAGAAAGAAAGAGCGGAAAGGGAAAACGGAGAAAGGGGGGTCAAGTGATAAAAAGGAAAAAGGAGGAGAGTAGTAGATGTGATGGTATGGCTAAACAATGTTTGGTATGAGTCGAGAAGCAACTCGAGCTGCAGTCACTTCAGATTGAGTAGCCGAGGCATGTTGGTTAATTGCCCGGTTTTGTTGCTCCGAAAGGTGCGCAACATTGCAAAGGTAAAGGGAAAAAAAGTCGGAGCGCCAGCGCAAGAGAAACTTGATCTGGATGGCGTTGATACCCGCGGCGTGAAGGATCACCGCCGCCCCAGCTCAAAGAGAGTGGGATGTATATTTGTAATGTCGCTGCAGATCGCGATCAGTAAGGTGGTAAGTCTTCTTGGCCAAGGTCCAAAGGGTGGAAGCAATGACTTTGCTGTGAATGAAAAACGTTTCACCAAAGGAACCTTTGTACACTGCAAGCGGAATATCGGTCTTATCCAGACCGACAATCCGGGCGAATCGGCTGACGATGTTATGGAGACTCTGCAGAGCGTCACGGGAAGGGTTGCTGGGATTGCTGGAAAGCAGTTTTCTTTGCCATGATCGTGATTCTTTTGCCAAGAGAACTTGACATTGGAGCGGGCCACGGCATCAAAATTCTCGATAAACGCAGCAATCAAAACAGGACAATTACCTGAATCGAACAAACGAATGTCGTCAAGAGTGAAGGCGCGTTTCGTACCATTCGGGGCAATCTCGCCACCAGAAGCCAAGCGACGGTAATCATCCTCCTGGGCCCATTCGCGAAGGCAAAAACCTAAATAGGTACTCAAGTTAAACCAATCTTCCATAGCACAGTGTAAACCGTCCATATGTGCGTTTGTAGCGGCATTCAGAGCCACCAAAGTGGTATGCATCTCAATTGTATAGGTGTTAGAATAAAGCAAAATGTGCTCTATCGTGAGTGCCTTTAGCGCTCAGAACAAACTCTCTGCAATCTAAATTCGTAATCGACTGTACAACACTTTCACAACAATAGTTCTCCTGTGTCTAGGT